CAGCAGAGGTAGGATCCTCTGAACCCCATCGTACATTCCAGGACCCTGTGGTCAATTCATCCCATCCCTGGGAGAGGAGGCCTAGCCCTAGGGGAGTAAAGACCCTCAGACCCATTCCCTTCAGGGGTCTCTTCCCTCAACACTGTCTTAGCCCTGGCCCTGTATACCTGTTTTTTCAAATTGTCCTGACTTCTGGCTTCTTACTGCTTTAGGACCAGGCTCAAAAAAGCAAAACAGCTGTGGTAAAGAACACCAACTCTCCAGGTAAGGGCCACAAGGACCCCTTTCTCCTTTTACTGTTGATGGGGGCAGCACTTGTGTTTTTGGAGTGCTTTCAGATATTTCACTTGGTCCACTCAGACTGGGAGATAAAAGACAGAACTTTTAACACTCCTCTTACATAGTTGGGGAAACTGACTCACAGAGGTAAAGGGATTTGCCGTGATCTCACAGCGAAGTGGAAATGATGCTGAGACCTTGTAGGGAGCAGTAAGCTCTGAGTAACACGATAGCAGCTTTTAAATATAAGCAGAAACATGGCTTTCGTAGTGATGCTGTAGGGCTAGTGAAAGCTTTAACAAGGAGAAGATCAAGCATACAAGTCACAACAAAACCTAGGAATCCTTACTCCAAATTCCAAGTCCTTCTTGCTTGGTTAGAATCTGTATCCACCAAAACTGTTTCCAAAGCCAGGCCCGGGAAGCTCTCCGGTCCTGGTGGTAGTCACTCTATATTGTGGGCAGAGACTGAGAGAAGCCAACCCTGGGCCTCCATTTCCTCGCGAAGTCCCAGAGCCAAGCCTCAGTTTGCCTTCTCCCTTCCTTGCAGAATTTGACCAACTCTTCAAACTAAACATCAACCGAAACCACCGGGGCTTCAAGAGGGTCATCCAGAGCAAGGGAATCAAGTTTGAAATTTTCCACAAAGGGTGAGGCTCTCTCATCAGCCTCCCTGCAGGTGGCCTGGGCAAAGGAATGGCATTTCTGCCACTGCCCCTGTCTTGGGCTCAGTGTGTTCAATCCTGCCTCTCCTGCCCAAGCCAATCTTCTGCTGCCTCTCGGTCCTCAGCTCTTTCTTCAGAAGTGACAAGCTGGTTGGCACAGCACACCTGAAACTGGAGCGGCTGGAGAATGAGTGCGAGATCAGGGAGATTGTAGAGGTAGGTCCCAGCGGGTGGGCAAGACAGAGGACTTGGTGAGAAAAGAGCCAGTATTCCTGACATCAGCCTCTGTGGTAGGTTTTGTCCTCATTCCTTAATTTAAAATGGTCTAAAAGTACACTGTAGAGTAAGTGGTACCCCGTCTCATAGAGGAAGAGAAGAGGTTCAGAGGTCCAAGAGAACGTCGGACTCAGCCAGCCGGGAAGTAGCCATACTCTCCTGGTAACACTGGGCTACTCAAGTTTCCAAGCATGATGGATAAGAGGGCTCTCCATCACTGCTGACAGCTTGGCACACAGATGCCTAGCTTCCTGGGGACAGTCTTGGGAGGGCTTCATAAACTCATACACTGTGTCCTTGACAGAGCTAGGGCCAGCCCCTTCCTGATGGCCTTGTAGGCTGGGGCTTTCCCCACCTGCTCTCCTGCCTACCTAGGGGGACTGTCCTTGGTAGGCCTGGTCCGGCCTCACGGAGGTGGTCAGACTTCCCAAGCCTCTTGAGTGTCTTGCACTCTGCTGCACTGCCTTATCTTGCCCAGGAGGAAGGAGCAGGTGAGTGGAAAGGCACCCTTAGCCGGGTCAGTCCTGACTGCCACGCTGACGTCCACTTCCCTGTGGGCCATCTGTGCAGTCAGGGTTTGGGCTCAGTTCTCATGCTGCTCCTCCAGCCAGAGGTACCACGGGGAAACTAAGCAGAGCCCCAGGATCCTCATCTCCATTTCAGTCAGCATGAATCCTTTCCTGGATCACTGCTACCTTTTTATAAGACTTACCTGAAACAACCAGTACTCCCTGAAGTGGAGACTCCTATGCTAACACCACAGGATGCTTTAGCTCCTCCTTGGGCTCAGGGACCTGCCTGCGCCCAGCCCAGCCCCTCAGTTACCATCTTCTCCTCGGTCCTCACAGGTCGTGGATGGAAGGAAGCCCACTGGGGGGAAGCTGGAGGTGAAGGTGAGGCTGCGGGAGCCTCTGAGCGGCAAGGATGTGCAGATGGTCACTGAAAACTGGCTGGTCCTAGAGCCCCGGGGCCTGTGAGGTGGGCAGTTCTCTGGGTGGCTCTGAGGGTCTCTGCCCGCTGCTCTCTGCTAGAGCCCCTGGGACCCTTCTTCTGTTCAAACCTGGGAGGAGGCCTGGGAGTCTCTCACCTGTGAGAAACAGCAGGGAGCCACGCTGTTGAGAGGGGCTCCTGGGCTGGGTTCCTTGTGTTCCTCAGTAGAACTGGGGAGGAACAGTTAACCTTCCAGGATTTAGCTGTCTCCTTCCTAAATCTGTTCTCTCTGCACTTCAGACTTACTTCTGTGCTTTGTGCCCATGCAGCAGATGGTCGGCACCAGGAGAGGACACAGGCCAGCGACTGCAGGCGCCCACTTGCCGCCCAGCTTTGCTGACCACAGAAGCCTTCGTACACGAGAGGCTGCTACACAAGCACCAAAGACCTGTTACACACATGCACTACTGACCGTGACCCTCGCCCTTCCTCTTGCCGGCCAGTCTGGACCTTCACGAGAGCAGGCTGGATTCCCTCTCCCTGCCTCCCCTCCCCGTCTGGCTGGGGCAAGGATCCCCTCACTGCTCTGTGCCGTGGAGTCCCGCAGCCGCTTAACCTCTGCGCAGCAACTGTGTGCCGCTCAGCCCAGCCTCCAGTTGCAGCATTTCCGGATGTGCCTTTAAGAGATTTAACTAAGGGATGGGAGAACTCGAGGGTGATCGGGAACCTCCTCTAGTTAAGGGGGGCAGGGTTCCATGACTCCAGGGGTGTGTGGCACCCTGTCCCAGGCGACCGTCTGCCCCAGCTCTGCCTGCGCCTGTGCCTTTGTTCCTGACTGCTGCTGCACTAGCCCTCCTGTTTCCCAGAGGACTTGCGGGAAGAGGAAAGTTACTTTCGGTACTACTTGGTGGGACGTTGTATCTTGGGTTTCATCCACACACCTAAGATAAAAGACTGTTAACTGGAAAAAAAAATTATATATAAAATTTTATGTAGCCATTTTTATTTAAGAAACTAATTCATTGTAAAGATTTCACACTCTATACAGGGTATCTATCAGAGTCCTAAACAAAAGCCCTGTTCCTTGTCACCCTAAAAGCTGGAGTAGCAAAAACATTTGTCATAGCAACTGCTACTGTGGTTTCCTCTTGACAGGGCAAAGGAAGCCTTCAGCTGGTCACCTAGAGAAATCCCTTAGTTCTATGCCAAGAAATTACCCTTGGCTTTGTTTTTCTGAATGGACAGATGAAGGGATCTGTAGTTGTAATAGATTCAATATTTGAAACTGCAATAGTCTGTTTCTTGGAAATAAACACCCCATCTTTTTTCTTTTTTGAAGGATTAACTTAAAGCATTCCCCAGGATCATTTTTAAAGGCTATTATGTGAGACAAATACATTCAATTTACTGATCATTATAGCATTGCATAAGCACAGTTCAGGGACTGAGCTTCTGTGTCTTTTCAGAAATAACAGGGCTGGACCTTGCTTGCCTGCCATTAAAAGCAGTGCTTGCAGTGAGTAACAGGGAGGAACTACAGACCAGTGACTTTCACAAGAGCGCTCTGGCCCATCTGACTTACCTAGCAGAGGAGCTACCCAAATTTCCTCAGCCAGGAGATTTAACACTTAACTTCAGGGAATCTGTGTGTCAAAACAGTAATCTAGAATGAAAAGGAGGGTGGTTAGGCTTCTAGTGTTAGCCTGGAGCAAAGGGGAGTGGCCATAAGGGCTCCTTACCCAGCCTGCCCTTCCCTTACTATGAGGGGTACAGTCCACTGTGGTTATTCTCAAAGTTCCAAACAGCCCAGCCAGGAATTTCTGAATTCAGCCCTCTATTGGAAATGCCCGATTGGGATGGGAAGTTTTCTTTGGCTCTACAGGTTTCCCTTTGCCACTCGTTCAGTTTCAGTCTGCTTCACTGTTCTTAACTTTTTGAAAAACAATCTCCAGGCTGAGGGAGGCAGGACAAAGCCACCCACTGGACTGAGAGTCAAGTTCTTAAAAGGCCTTTGTTGTATCAAAGACAATGCATGAATAGGAGGAGCTTCTCCTAATTTGTCCTAAGATTTGTCCAAATACAGTAAGCAAACACTGGAGATTAGTGACTCATGGGCAGTTGGGAACCAGCCATGACCCAAATAATTTTAAAATTTTAAATTCTCTTTGATCTAGTATAATGCATAATTTCTTCTGAATCAGTGAACTGAGTAAAATATGAGATTTTCATTAGAATCAGGAAGTCTTTCAGTTAAAGGGCAAACTTCTAGCTTCAACGTTTTTTTCCCCTTTTTTAGCGCCTTTCTGAAATCTACATAATTTGCTTCCAAATCTTGAGGGCTTTTCTAAGTATTTGTTGGCAGCCCCTTGGGCACGTGCTTTCAGGATGATCCCATGGGGCTCTCTCTGCCTGTAGATCCAGGAGCTTGTACCTGGTCCAGCACCATCAGAGATTCTCTCCTCCTCTGGGCTAGAATCTAGAATGAGCATCAGTATTCCTGCCCTCTACTCAGCCCTCCTGATTATGCAGTATAGTCCCTAAGAATTCCATGTACATTATTTAAATTATAAGTATTACTAGATAGAAATCACCACCATAAATCTTAACTCCAGAAACCACGTTCAGCAGATTGCTGGGTTGTCTGAAATGTACTAAAGGCATAAATTATTTCCCAGAGAACTAGTTACAGTACAGGAAACTTCAGTCGGGCCCACCAGTGTTCAGGAGCCACTGTGGGTGAGGGAAGACAGGAAGAGGGAACCTAACCTGGCAAAATCCCATCTCTCTCTAGCTTTAGGGTCCAGTGGGTGCTCTGAAAGTACTGATGGAGATGCCTACATTGCCTAGCATTTGGTAACCATCAGCAGTTAAAAAAAACCTTAATGACCAGAATGACAATTTTCCTCTTAAGTTTAGAATGATCTCTATATCTCAGTCTTTTCAATTTACAATCCAGAACATTTTTCCTATTTAGAAATATGGTGGGGCCAGCAGGCGGTGTAGCACTTAAGGTGCTGGACTCCCACATGGCCTACTTACTGCACTTGAAGTCCCAGACCCAGTAGCTTGAAACTCATGCCAGGTGAGTGTGTGTGCCCAAAATCCCAAGAGAAAAATGGAGGAAAAGGGACTGCGGCCTAGCTATCCCCCACCCCCGGGGAGGGCACTTTCTGTCTGGCCAGTGTACACGCCCTATAGCAAAAATCTCTAAAAAAAAAAAAAATGCTGTCAGGTGTTCACATAATTCTCAGAGTATATGCTGAATAAAAGAAAGATAAAAGCCCACAGTGGTTAAACTAGTGGCTGGGTCCCACATGAACTGCACTGTTCAAGTCCTGGACCTGGGAGCTTGAAAACCATGCTGGGCACATGTGCCTGTGTACCCAAACTGCAGAAAGACTGGAGGAAAAGTTTGTGGTGCAGCCTTCTCTAGGGAGTGCTTTCTCACTTTCCTTCTCTAGTTCTATCTGGCAATTATACACCTTATAGCAAAATGAGGGAAAGAAAAGGAGAAAAATAAATTAGCTTTGGTGGTTTTTTTTTTTTTTTTTTTGGAGAGATTTTCACTGTAGGGCGTGTGCGCTCGCCAGACAGAGACATAGAGACAGAAAGCGAGAAATCACCCCTCAGGGGGAATGGTCACGCCGCAATCCCTTCTCCTCCATTCTCCTCTCGGGATCTTGGGCACGCACGCACACGCTCCTGGCGTGAGTTTTAAGCCACCGGGTCCGGGACACGAACCGCGGTCGACTACGTGGGAGTCCAGCGACATAGCCATTACGCTAACTGCTGGTTCCCGCTTTGGTGGTTTTGTGACAAACTCCACAAGGTGATTTTGCTAAACATAAAGGACATTTTATACAGTTAAGAACAGACCTGACGACTGGGGCAGAGTTCGTCGTTAGTGGGAAAATTCAAGTCTACACTGATCCAGAAGAATGTGTAGGATGGCAGGATGTATTTGGTTAAGCAGGAAGAAAGATACCCTACAGGAAAATAGGACCTGTCCCTGTAGATGTTTCAAACTTCTGAAATGTATTTAGACTAAGCAGATTACTACACCAAAAATACCTGCCCCCGTTAACAAATGCTTCCTGTTGTCAGGCTTGGGAGTGGCGGTCTTAGGGCTGGCGCTCTATGTGCTAAGGGTACCTACTTTATGTCCTCCCCTCAAGCCCTGAGTACCTCTGAGTCCTACAGAAGGTCACTGTTCTCTGCAAGGACAAACAGCAAAGCCTTTTTGGATAAGCAGATGTGGAATGTAGCTCCCCCCACCCCCAATGGAGAAAGGGAGGAATCCTGCTAGACACACTTTTGAGGCCTCTTTGAAAACACCTCCGGGCCAGCATCGTGGTGTGATGGTTAAGGCACTGGACTCCCTCAAGGCTAATCGCATTTTGAGTCCTGGTCCTTGCTTTCTCACTTTCTCTCTTGTCAAATAAATAAATAAATAAATAAATAAAATCGAACAGTTCTAGACTGTCTAATGTTAAGCCAGCTCTAGCCACTGGGGGGCACCCTCTCACCATCTCAGAGGCCAGCACTCGTTTCCAGAGGATTTTTGGTGTACTTTACTGCAGGGCTGATTCTCGGCCTAGGCTTCAGAAGATTTCAGTGGCAATGCAGTGAGCTGCCCTGCTGTGATATGCAAACAGTATTTTTTAAACTATAGGTTGTAAAATCTATTTACTGGGTCTACGACTTTTTTTAAGTTATTTAATTTTATTTATTCATTCATTTTAATTTGACAAGAGAGAGAGACAGAGAGAGAGAGAAGGAAAGTGAGAAAGCAAGCCATCAGATCCAGGACTTGAACCATGGTCAGACATGTGGAAGTGTCCAGCACCTTACCCACCAAACCACCTGCTGGTCCCCCTGGTCTATGACTTAATGAAAGATAAAATGCTAAGAGTGCAACTCACATGCAAATACAAATAAATGCTCATGTGATGCCTGGCCTTTACTCACTACCTCAGTTGCCTCTCAGATGTTACTTGGCGGGGACTGTAAACCCCTCAAAGCTCAGAAATCGGACCTTGGTTCATTCAACGTTTAGCATACACAGCACCACAGCTACTCACATATCATGGGTAAACCAGATCTCAGTTTCTACTGTCACTCTCATGAGAAGAAGCCAGGGCTCCTTGGCTGATTCCAGGATTGGGACAGGGTAGGCACAAGATGATCCTGGAGCATCTTACTAGGCTAGAAAAGGAAGTGTTTAAACAAGTAACAGGGGCAGGTCTCAAGGATGGAGGGGCCAACTTGAAGGGGCTCTGTCCAGCTAATGCTAAGGTCATCTGCGCACCAAAATAATAAATCAGAGCCACTGGAAAAAAATAACTCCTGAGTCCATAATGAAAATGGAATGGGGACCAGCAGTTAGCGTAATGGCTATGTCGTTGGACTCCCATGTAGCCAACCAAGGTTCGAGTCCCAGACCTAGTAGCTTAAACTCATGCCAGGCGCGTGTGCGTGCGTGCCCAAGATCCTGAGAGGAGAATGGAGGAGAGGGGATTGTGGCGTGACCATCCTCCAGCGGGGGGGAGGGTGATTTCTCGCTTTCTGTCTCTCTGTCTCTGTCTTTCTGGTAAGCGCACAGGCCCTGCAGCAAAAACCTCTCCAAAAGAAAAAGAATGAATAGATAAACGGAGGAAGGGATTTTGTTTAAAATAGATGAGCAAGTACAACTGGTAAAAGCAGAGGGGGTGCTGAAATTGGAGAACTGCTCTGCAACCATCACAGTCTAAGGTCTGCACATGTAAGGGACATGAGTGGCTGCTAGCCGACGGGGATGTATTAATGAGCAAGATGTTAGCACTGTCTGAAAGTGGTAACCAACGCTCATCGCCATCAATGAGCGGCAAATGGACAAGGGGTTCAGGCCAAGAATGCACAAACTGATCTATTACGAGGAAACATCAAACTCCCAATCAGGCACTTTCTGTTAAACAGTGAAGGGAGGACCTATATTTGC